TTAGCTCTTGTGTGTTAGCTTGGTTGCTGATTGAGCTAAGGTTGTTGTACTTTTAAAGTTACGGTATTTTTGATACCATATTGTTTTTGTTGACCCCCTTTTCCACTTACAGAGCTAGGTTATTGTTTTTCTTTGAAATAAATATTCATGTAATTTTATTGGTATCTATCTTCATTTTTTACATTTACCAGTAGCTGCCTCATTTCCTACCCTAGGCTTATACTCGAGTCAATACTTTTCCCCAGTTTTTTGGGGTAAAATTTACTTGAGTATATACGGTAGCTCCTTTTCTACTATGGAATAACAATAGCTACTCTACCTCCTCAGAGTCAGTATGTGCTGGAACCAAGAAAGCCAGGCTTTGAGAGCTGCAGAATCTGCAGGTTGGGATGGAATGCACATTTCTTGTTCTGCAACAGAAGGTAAGGAGTGACTGGAAGAATCACTGGTGGACACAGTGCCAGCTGTGATAGGTAAGGGTACCACATTTGTCTGAGCCATGTGAGAGCAAACAGTATAATGTTTGCTCTCTGTTTTCACTTGGAACAGGAGAAAGGGTGTCATTTAAGGAGAGCCTCTCTCATGGTGTTGTCCTCTATCGAGATTTTTTGTTCTGGTAAATGAATAGCTCCCCAGTGGATGTCTTCCACTGTCAAAATATGTCATGGAGTACTATCAGATCTCTCCCACATTAGTGATCATGTGGGAATTTACAGTTGAGACTGCTGTGTTGTGTATTCCCGATAAGTAGGCTGCTGATATTAAGATATTTTAAGAAAATGTACTAGTTCCACAGTCTTAAGAGTGCTTCTATGCAGAAGGAGGAGTAAGACTTGGGGCCTTCCTGATCATTTATGTAATACATGGAGTCCTTATTATCCATTATGACCCTTGTGAGCATGTCTTTCATCAGTGGGAGGAAAGTAAGCATGCCTGTTTCTGACCCCTGCATTTGAGCAGGTTAATATGGAGGCGTCTCTCAGCTGGAGACATCTGCGTGGCATTGTGCAACCACTGAGATGCATCCCCCCACCCCCATCCTCTGAGGAATGCATTAGTCATCAGTAGATATGGGCAAGGCTGAACAAATGTATCCTATACAGTAGAGTTTCTCAAACTGTGGGTCCTGACCCCTTGGGGGGTTGCGAGCAACAGAGAGGGAAATCGCAAACAACTGAGAGGGGGGTTGCAGTATCACAAGTTTGAGAACTCCTGCTATATAGACATTTACTGTATCCTCCAGCAGTCCAAGGATTTCTTGACCCTGGTGGGCACTGATAGTCATGTATGTTATCTCTACCCTGTAAACCGAACCAAACCATGCCTGGAGACATCTCATGTGTAGTCTGCAGAAACAATAACCAATGTGACTGAAGTCATTTATCCCAGGAGCTGGAGGCAATGTTTGGCCAAAATCTGGGGTCTGGATTGTTCTGCCTCTACCAATAAGGAGAGACTGAGAAATCTATGATGGTAGGAGTACTTTTGCCCAAATGGAGTCAAAGTCAGCTGCTTTGTACCAGTGTTCATGTTGATTTTCATTCATTGCTCGGTAGGCCCAGATTCTAAAAACAGGTCCAGTGTGGACTGAGTGACTCACTGGGGCTCTACAAAAGACTAAGCCCTGATAAGGCAGTCACCCAAGTAAGGATAAATCATAAGTTCTGAGCATGTAAGTGGGATGCCACTACCAAGAGGACCTTGGAGGCTACCATTGGGGGCAATCACAAGTCAAAAGGGAGTATCTCATATTAACAGTGCTCTTCACAGATTATGAACCTAACTGGCCTAGGTACAATTGAGATGTGAAAAATAAGAATCTCTGAAGTAAGAACCAGTCTTCTTTTTGTAACATTGGAATGATCATGGATAATATGACCATCTTTAACTTCTGAGCAGTGATAAACTTGTTGAGTGCTCTGAGATCCAGCATGGAGTCTCCAGTCCCTCTTTTTCTTCAGGAAGTAACAAGAGAAGAAGTCTCTGTCCCTTAGATGTGCGGGCACTGGATCTGTGGCTCTAACACTGAAGTGTTTAACTCCTGACATAGCAGGCTCTCCAAAGCAGGAAAAGGAAAAAGAAAATGGGGTTTTACAAGGAAGAGAGAAATAGATGTAGGTTTCTTTCTTGGATTTTCTCCAACGCTAATTTGTTGGGTATTGCATGTTTCCAGGTACTTGCAACAGTGTCAAATAACCTTGAAAGGGATGGGTGGGTTTTCCAGCATGAAATGAGGATTTTCTAGAAGCACTTTGACAAACCCATCAAAATCTCTCTCTGGTGGAGATCTAAAAGGAAGTTTGCTGAGATGCCAACATTTTTGATCTGTGGAACCTGGGCATTTTCCTCTGAAATTCATACAACCTCTGAGTATATAAACAGATACTAGAATGAGTATTGAAATGAATATTATGAGCAAGACTTGAAGGTGGCTGTACTTTCTTTTGTACTCAGGTGTATAGATCCTGAGGGGGTCAAAGAGTGGCTGTTGAATCTTAATCTGTGGAAGGCAACATCAATCTTGTTTGGACCTCCTTGGAAAAGCTGGAGAGATGAAGCCATGAGGCTCATCTCATCACAATGGCAGTTGAAATAGAATGTGCCCCTGTATCAGCTACATCAAGTGCAGACCGAAGAGTTTCTGCCATCAGTTTTCCCCTTCTTAATCAAGGATTTAAATTGGTCCTTGTGAGAATAGAGGAGTAGTTCATTAAAAGAACTAAGTTTCATACGGGTTTGATAGTCTCATTTAGCCCAGAAGGAATAGGCCTTCTTGCCAAACAAGTTCAGATGCTTCCAATCTCAGTCATAAGGAGTGGAAGTGGTGTTGGTGACTTTGAGAATTAATTGCACCCACACTAATCAAATTGAGAGTCAGGTGTGAACAGGAATTCCATGTTCCTTGCTTATCTGCCTTAATACGAGTTGGTGGGAGACACATGGGGGTGGGCAGAACCCAGTAGAGCCTCATTAACAGAAAGCCCCACTCTGAAGAAGGTGAAAGAATGCAGAATGTCCATTTGTTTGTGATCTGACTCAGACACCTCTAGCTAAGGGATATGGAGTGATTCTGCCGCTCTTTGTGCCAAGTCCTGGAACTGTGTACAGTTGTCCATTGATGGCAGAAGGGGTATTGTGTCATCTGGTAACAGGGATGAGAAGGAGGGTGGAAGAGTGTCCTCCCTCAACTTTAGCCTCCAATTCCTCCCTTCCCTGCTCAGCAAATTGAGGCCCTCAAGGCAGCAGCTGAAGGAGGGTACTTTCTTGGCTGCTGGTAGGCCATATTAGTAGAGATGAGGGTCTATTGCCTTTGAACCTGCAAGCATGGCCATTATGATAGAAAGTGTACCAGTGATTGGCTGGCACCGGTCCAAACCAGGGAGGCTATGGGTCAGAAAGCTGGCATGCCCAGATCCATAATGAAACTGGGCTCTGTATGGCGGGTAAGAAGAGCATTGGGAAGGTAGGTCCTCTTGGCTACTTTCTAACTCTAACAATAAAAAGGGTGGTGCATAGCAGGTTGTTGGCAAGCCAATGGCTCTGGGTGAACACAGTACTAGGACCCTAGAACTGAGCAGAGAAGAACCAGTGCCAGAAACACAGACCTGACAGTAGGGTATATTAATTGACAGTACTAATGTTGACAACCATACCAACAAAACCTTCCGTGTAGCATCATCTCTGTTTCTCACATTCCTGTGGTACCAATGCCTCTTTGTCGGTTTCCATTAAGTCTGTAGGCATTCTGACTTGCCCTCTTAGTTTAATATTGTGTGCGCCCTAGGTACCAGATTCAGTACAGATGGTACCAACCAAGCCAGGGATCATTTTCAGCTTGACTGAGGCTTGCTATGGGGATTCACAGACTTTTTTTTTTAAGATGCTTCAGGGGATAGCAGAGTTAGAGTCTGTACAGGACAAACTTAAAAAACAATAAATGGTCTGGTAGCATTTTATAGACTAACAAAACATGTAGATGGTATCATGAGCTTTTGTGGGCACAGCCCACTTCTTCAGATAACTGGAGTTTTGAGTTTAGGATATGCATTCCCAAAATAAACAAGGGAGAAAGGGGAAAAGGAAGAAAAAACAAGGAGGGGGCAGGAAAAAAGGAGCAGAGGGCATGAAAATATCAAAGGGAAAACCAGGAAGGCAGAACTGGGAATCAGCGAGTACCTGAAAATTGGGTAGTTAAAACGAAGCAGATAAGAAACAAAGTCAATAGACAGTACCCTTCCTCACACAGGAATCTACAGAAAGAGTTGTTTGCACTTTCACTGAATGATAGGTTGATTGGAACACTATCGTCCCTCATCATGATTGAGGCCATTTGCTGTACAAGTGCACAATAGATTCCTTACAACTGAGGCGCTTTTTGAAGGGCATACCCTTATCCATGGGAAAGGGCCCACGAAAGACTGACTACTTTTCTCTTTTAACAGGCCAAAATAAAGTGTAAAGAAAGCAAAGAAAATAGCCTTCTGGCAGATGAGGAGCAGTGCATGCATAGGTGGGGTGGACTGATACTAAAAGGTCCCCAATCAGCAGACCAGTGGAGTGTCCAACGGGACACTACTCTAAGAAGAGCTAAGGTTTAACTATAATAGAAGCATGCGTACTAATTCTCATATGCTGTTTAGAAAGTTAAGCACTCTGATCAGTTACAAGAAGATCTGAACTTTTAAATCAGATGCAGAGGGTCAATGCATTATTATCCAAGAGACAATTTCATTCAGATGTCTTATATTTACAAGGCTGAAGTTAGAAATGTTGCTGTCCTAAATGCATTTTAGTCAATATGAGTCTGTTCTAGCTTCTCATCTAATAACAATCATACGTTAATGGAATAGATTTTTCTTCATTTGTTCAGTTGACCCACTATTTGCAATATTCTATACATATCCAATTTAAATACAACAAACCTTGCACAAAAGAGGAGGAAATTCAAGTCACAGGTAATGATGAACTACCATATGAGTTTCTACAAATTATCTCCTTACCATTAAAGGAAGAGCACCTATTTGCAAGTGATGAAGTCGAGGCGGTGCATGGTAGTGTGCCAAGTGAGGGTGCAATGGGCCTGGTGGATATGTAGCTGCAGCCACTCCAGCTTCGATTCCCAGTTCCCTGCCACATAAGCAAAATTAACATTTTAATCTAGTTATTTTTGCCCTCTAGCTGTATCTCTACTGCTTTGGAAATTTATATCATGGCTTCTAAACACATACACAAAAGGCATTTTATATAAAATACAAATTATTTTTAAATAAATATTTTCCATTAAATCAGTTCTGTAATCCCACTGTCGATTCAATTAATGTGTTGTGACTAAGCAACTGAATTAAAAAAATAAATAAATCAGTAAAAATAAAATTATAAAATACCAGTACAGACTTGACTTAGAAATCATTGTTGTGATGTGCAACTATTTTGGATTTGGAATCCTAGGTTTTCATAAAATATGCCCTCTTCAGTTCATCAAAACATTGTGGTTACAGGAAGTAGCACAATGGACTTGAGCCATTATCTTACATCAAGGTAGTAAAGTTCTAATTCTCAGAGCTATCTAGCCACTGTAAACCACAGGTTCCTAGGAGGAAAATTCATGTAACACCAAAACAGAAAAACCAATTACCAAGTTCCAGGTTTGGGTAGTTTGAGTAGACTAAGTTCAGAAGTTAAAAGTTAAGTTAAAGTCTGTTTTACTGTGTGTCAGATTCAAGTTTTAAATTAAAAATTCAAATACAGGTAAGAGATTGTCTTTGAACTTAAAAGCTCAAAATGTCTGCACTTGAAAATTCAAAAGAATGTTTTCTGTAGAAAATGTTTTTTGACACTACATGTGAGTTTTGAACTCGTATTACTTGGAATAACTGGCACCAAAACAGTACAACTGTATAAGCACTTAAAATGGTAAATATTTGCTAGCATTTATAAAAACAAATTGGAAACATTTAAATTGGCTAATAGCAAAAAATGGCATTTTACAGAGCTATCCATCTGAACACATTTTATCCTGAATATGTACTTAGCAATTTGTTAAATCAAATCACAAACATTATCAAGATATTCTCAGGATGAAAGGTCATATAGCAAATGCCAATAAATGGGCACCTACCAAGTCATATGACACTAACGAGGAATTAAGAGTACTGACCAGGCAGACCTCTCCGGAGCTTGTCGAGGATGCGAGGACATTGTCTGAGGCACGTGAATATGGTGCCCGTGACCATAGTTGGGATGCATTCTGTGAGGATGCGGAGGAGGCCGTTCATGTGCACGTCTAAGAGATAGAATACAAAACAGCACCAGTTCAAGACACAATGATTCAACCTTTATCTGGCAGACATGGACTATAGAAAGAAGTCTTCAACATAAGGTTGAACACTTTTGCCTATTAAAATCCAATTGCATGCATCATTATATGCCAAGACCCAGAGACATTTACAACTGAAAAATCATCCATACTATTAATCTACAGCTTCCTGGTAGACTAAGGTATGCAGGTATTCAGATGAAACAATACTTCTGTTTTCTAAAACAAAAGGCAGCAATTTCTATTAATTCTGTGGTGTCCAACCAGTTCTGAAGAAATGGTGGCTATTGCTATCGCGACCAAATAGCCACATATGGCTAGTGTGTTGGACACCACAGTCTTAAATGATCATTCTGAGCTCATTCTCTCTTAGTCCACATGATAGGAGTTTCTCCATGGAACAGGTAAACAAATAGCACATGAAGTTTTTCTATAATGTATTCTAAGGAACAGTTCATTATAATTCATCAGCTGATACTTCCAAAAGTCATGGAAATTTTTTTAAAACTTTAAAAGCTTTGAAGTACACAACTCTATGGAAAGGAGCAAGTATAGGTTTACTCTTCATTTTATTTTTCTGTCAGTTTATAAACTTGTGTTTTCCCAAAGCAAAACATTGGGTGAATGGCTACATATCCTAACCAACCACTGGCAGCATTCTCTTGCCAGACTATGCTTTTTGCAGATGGCTTACCTCTCAGTAGCTGCCTAACTCCATACATTTCTAGCACAGAGGACTTTCTCCAAGAAGGCTACCACTAACCTGTACTTTATCTCAACAGGAATTGAAAGATTTTTTGTGCTACTCTAGAAGAATGACACAAGAACACCGCGTAGTCAATAGGCAATTCAGTAAATAACACTGGATTTAACTAAAAGTTCTATTCTCAACCTTCTCACAGAGTGGCACAATCAGACTATCACAATTACAGTAAACTTCTGATAATCCGGCACCTTTAGGTCCCGGGGGTGCCGGATTATCAAATATGCCGGACTATCAGAAAGGGAGGCTATGAGGGGTCTGGGTGGGATGGGGGGATGCCACCCAAGACCCCTCATAGCCTCCCCTTCTGATAGTCCGGCTCTGCCCCAGGCGTCCCCGGTTCAGCCACTGCTGAAACTGACCAGCGGCTGGCTCCCCCGGGGCAGCCGCCGGGGGCTCTGCCCTGGGGTTCCCGGAGTCAGCCCCTGGGCCG